GAATAATTTTTTGGACTCACGAATATAGTCTTAAGTTGCCTACCTTCAGGTAGAATATGTCAATTAATGGCAGTTGTCGAAAAGTGTTTTATACCATATTAGGAATATACGCATGAAATGCAAATTTCCAAAATCCTCACGTTTTGTTAAGGATATAAAAAACGAAACATTGATATTGGTAGTTGCGCTAAAATTTTTTCTACAAAAATGTTCATTGCTAAGGTAACTATTGCATTACTTTGAACATTGCATTTTTTTGTCATACTAATGCAAAACGAAATTTACACTGCTTCCACGCGAGCGGAGCCGCAGGTTTGGACTCGACATACGAAACTCTACTTTTCAATTTCGATCCTATACGAATAATAAAGCGTATATTGACCGGTCTATATAAAGACAGAGGTAATGCCTACCTACCGAAATCTCCAATTTGTGTTAGTAAGTCACCGAATTAATTTAATAAGGTTTGATGGTATCTCTATTTTTTTGAATTGCTTACCTGATATAATTATTCGATGTTTATGTCTCTATTATTTGTTATTACCAAGTGGAATCTGTAGAATCCAAGTGGAGTGGTGTCAAATTACTTGTAATTTGAGCAAATAAAATTATTGACTATCGATATATATATAATTGCAATTTGTAAATTGTGTAGTCGATTGCAAAAATCATAGTCCAGACGATGTGAACTCTAGTTGTATTTCCAAGGCTTTGTTGTTCTCCCTGTGGCGGTCATATTTGACTCATGGTACCAAGTCTACTATTGATATTCATGCACCCTTAAAAATTGTGCGAGTCATTAAGCCGTTTACTCTGTGGTTAACGCCAGATGTGAAACTTTTAATTATGAGGAAAAACAAAGCACTTACTCAATTTAGAGCTGATGGATCAGAGAAATTATGGAAATGTTATTACAAAAGCTTACGGAACTCAACCTTAGGAAAAATTAGTTTCGAAAAGGCAGCTTATTTAAGATTCCTTAGTGAACAGAATGATTCTGCTAATTTTTATAAAGCTCTCAAATTAATGCGTATGCAAAAATCTAAAAATAGCGAGATTCCCACCCATCTCAAAGATCCTACAGAAATAAAAAAATATTTTTGTTCTGTTTTCAACAATAACATTCATCCATGATCTCTTTCTATGAAAATAATTAATTTTGTAGCCATAAATTCAGTTTCTGTCCAATAAATTATTCAGATTCACGCTTAATTTTTATACCTTAATATCCAATGCATTTGGAACTGACGGAATATCACTTGAAATGCTTAAATTATGTTTTCTCCTAATTTCAATACATATATTACATATCATAAGTAAATGCTTATAAAAAAGTATATTTCGTAAAGCATGGAAAAGCTCTCTTATTTTATCTTTGTCCAAAGTAGGTAATCCTAGCTCGTATACTCACCTGAGGCCTACTAGCATTTTGCCTATACTAACTTTCCAAATTATTGGAAAAGGCAATGTATACACAAATAAATGAACATGTTTTGAAATTTGGTATACTACCATCTAGGCAGTGTGGTTTTGAAGGGTTATAATACTGCTGCAGTATTGTTAGATCTAACTAACAATATTGTCAGGGCTTGGAATAACAATCAAACTACTTACTTAATTCTTTAAGATTTTTCTAAAGCGTTTGACACCATCAACCACTCACTCTTAATAGCCAAATGTAAATTTTATGATTCTCTGAATCATCAGTTGCTCTAATAAACAGATTTTTTAAAAATAGATCACAAAGAGTTGTCATCGATATGAACATTTCTCCTGAGGCTTTAATTTAATTGAGTGTGCCTCAAGGGTCGGTTCTTGGGCCACTTCTTTTTATTTTATATATCTCCGATTTTGATAAGGCTATTAAATACTGCAATACTCAGTTTTTTTGCAGATGATTCGCAGTTATACAATAATTTTCATATTGACAATATAATAATTGCTGAGGCTCAAATTAATGAAGACTTGAGGTCTAGCGACAAGTATGCAAACATTCATAATCTTAAATTAAATTCAGAAAAATCAAAAGTAATTATATTTACTCCTAAAGAATGTAGAAGTCAAATTAAGACATATTCGATATCATCATTAAATGGTGAAATTATAAAAGTATGTGAAACTGTAAAAAATCTAGGCATATCACTTGATGAATATCTGAATTTTATCCCTCATGTGAACAATGCTACAAAAAGTTGTTTTTTAATACTCCGGCAATTATACTTGAACAAACAAATTCTCGATTGCAAAACTAAAAAAATTCTCTGAGAGTCATTAATTATTTCAAAAATTACATACTGCGACATTGTTTATCATCTGTTTTTAGATTCAGTATCTGTCAAGCGCTTACAAAAAGTTCAAAATTCATGTTGCAGGTTAATCTGGAACTTGAAAAAATATGACCACCTTACCTCCTCGTTCATAAAACTGGAATGGTTATCTATTCCTAATCTATTTAAATTGCATTTACTATGTTATATTCACAAGCTTTTATTTACCTCAATTCCCCCATTTTTGAAAGTTAAAACTTCGTGGTTCTATGCACTCACGAGATGTTCGCTCTATTGATACAATAACAATTGCTCCTCACAGAACTTGATTTTTTACTAAATGTTTTACTTATAATGCTACGATCATGTACAATGCTTTACCCTCTGATACCAAAACTTTAGACTTCAAGAATTTAAAAAAATGTTCAAGACAAAAATTTTCGATGTTCGAACCATCTACACGGACACTACTAACTTTTTTCCATCTGTCAAAGGTTCATCTTACTTATGATTCTATGCTCACCATTTTGTGCAATCATCAAGTGGTTCACGATGTAATTTTTAACTTTCGTTTTAAATATTTTTAATCCGTTTTAATTTGTTCTTGACATACAGCTGTGTGTAGTTTGTATTAATTTTGACGTTTTCACCATGTATCCAGCTTTCATCAGGTTACTGGGTGTTTCCCTCAACCTAAACGTGAATAACATTTAGCAACATCCTCATATACTACTGTAAGTTAATTTAAAATTCATTTTGCACAATTGTTGCTATTCTTCTCAATGTTATTGCAGCTCCTGATGATGATGGCAAAGACCATTGAAAGCTAGAGCGATTAATAAAGTATAAAGAGTCCTCTTTGCTTAAATTTTGTCGATGTACCCAACAAAAGGCGGAAGCTTTAATTTTTTCATATATATATATATAGTATTCATTTATTATATATATATATATAGTATTCATTTATTATATATATATATATATATCTACAAAGAGAAAATTATCATGCGGAGAAAGGTATAACAAAAATAGGAAAATAATGGACAGAATCCGAAAAAAGTGGATTCGAGCAGAAAATAGGATAGGTAACCCGAGCGATACGTATTTCTGCTGGTTGGCTTCATCAGGCACGAAATGAATGCACATATGCTACTACAAAAGTAGAGACACATGCCCATACATCCGGATACGGGTGTAACCTGAGGAAACAAAGTTGGAGAGGAAAAAAAGACACACGAAGAATATATATGTATATATCTTTATCAGGAAATATTACTAGGTTACTCACTTGCGTCAGTATGTATGTCTGTCTAGGTTGACTCATCATAAATGTGATCCAACGTTGTCGAATGGTTAGTACGGCCCAAGACTCATTTCTAGATCACAGCACTGTCAAACAGGCGAACTCATTGTGTAGGCCAGCTTACAAACACGAATTTAGGCATTCGGATAAGCCTGAAAATCTATCCTAAGATATATTTATTTGAACTGAGAGCTCCATTTCCTAAGATTCACGACCCAAAGGCTCAAAAACCTGCTGATTGTCATAAGAAGAAGTAGGCTTTTGACTAGAGGAATTAAATTCAACAGCAAAAATATAAGAATTTCAGTGTTGGACCTTATTTTTGGATGGTATATGACACGTACATCTCGAAAATCCATGTCACTCTTTTTTTCGACGTCTACCGGTCGGATTTTGAAAATTACTACTATGCCAAGGGCGGAACATTTTTGTTTTTAATCGATCCAGTGACGGCAAAGATATAGGCAAAACAATGAAAATAGTAAAAATCGCTCAAACTCCGTTGTTTGAAGTTTCAGAGGCTCCTCATCATATTCATAAGATTTTTTGTAGGGGCTAAAAATAGAGTTATAGGGACTAAAGCCCTTAATAAGTAAAGTTAATACATGTATACGTTTCTAATCTCGTTATTTCTACCTACCTATTGGACACATTCCACCCCTGCCAAGTCGTCGGCACGGCAGGGGTGGAAAAATCATGACAATCTGAGCATGTTGATTCGATCCATTTAATTACCTTGTTATACATGCCCCTAACTAATATATTTAATAGAGGTGGTCACCTGTCCTGAACATAATCGCTTATGAAATGATAACTACTATGCCAAGTGCGGAAAAAAGTTTTTTTAAATCGATCCAATGGCAGCAAAGATATGTATAGGCGAGACAACGAAAATGTTAAAAATCGCTCAAACTCCGTTGTTTGAAGCTTTACAGGCTCCTGATCATATTCATAAGATTTTTTGTAGTGGCTAAAAATGGGGTTATAGGGAGTAGGTATCTAAAGCCGTTAGTAAGTAAAGTTGAGACAGTTATACGTTTCTAACCTCGTTATTTCACCTACCTATTAGACACATTTCATACATCATAGATTTCCACTTGAAATGTGGCAGAGCTGGAATGTCTAGACCGCAACCTTGTCAAATTGGTGGGGACTATAAAAGCATATTGATTCGATTCATTTAATTACCTTGTAATACATGCCCATAACTAATCTTTTCATCAGAGGTGCTGACCTGTTCTCGACATAATGTATTATGAATTGATGAAAGCGTTGCTTGGAAAGTGCAGAGTCAACCTACTTGACGCCGTTTCAAAGTACTGAATTTTCTTGATCAACACCATGATTTCAAAAGAAATGAGTTCTTCAACAACGTCTCCATCTTTTACAGCTTTAGTTCGCAATCAAATGCATTTGATGCTTTGTTTCAGATCCAATTCTGCATCATCTTCTACCACAACTTCCAAGTGCTGTTCCGCGAATGCTCCTACCCGAAATTCATAAACTTTCTGCTCGCAACGCAAGCCGCATACTTCCTATACCTATTCGGGTGCTTCTACGTCAACCAGTACATGAAAAGCCAAAAGAAGAAGAGGAATCAGCAATTGGCCAATGAGGCTACTCACGTTGCGTCCAACGGAAAGCTGAAGGACAATGGAGAAGTCAAAGCTAACGGAGATGTGACGAATGGATATGTGAAGTCCAATGAGGAACTGGAAAATGGAAGCGCCAAACAAAATGGATATGTAGAGAACAAGGCTAAAGTCAATTAAGTTCTGTGAGCTTCACGGCTGGTGAATAAAAATCGGAGCGATTTGTCAAACATGATAGACGTTTGGTTATATAGGAACATCATATTGTATATCATAGATAATTTTGTTACAAGTTTCGATGGAATAGGGATACAGCAAAAGCTGAAGTTGACATTGTGCGAAAGTCTTCCCAGTCCAAGGGAATTAGCCAAAGATGTGATACGAACCAATGTAAATAGAAGGTGCAAGCCTTCAATTTGTTTCATAATCTCAGTATGTGTGTAAGTATTATCATTATGTTGATACGACGTGGTCACTTTGGTAGCCAATGGTACTAAAACGAGTCCAAGGTATCTATTAAGACTACAAACATATTTCTGCCACACAATGAAATATGGTGTGCCTGGTGACGATGAGATTTAATGTAAAATTAACTTGGTCATACATTTTTTGAAACTTTGTAATGTGCTTCAGAGATATTTTATGAAATTTTGCTTTGTCAGGAGAGTGGTCGTGGAGCATTAACAATATTTTGGAAACTACATCTTATATGACTCGAGTGACATCCTATGGATGCAAGGGGAATGTGCTCAGGGTCCACCTTCTTCTTCTTAGAGTGTCATGTCGTTGTAGGACGATGGCACTGCCATGTAGAATTGCTGTCCATTACCGCAAATATGTCAACCTAGATTGATCTATCTATTTCTTTCCTTCAATTTTGCCATTGAGAATTAACCGTACAGATCAATATCTTGGTCCCCTCATTAATTATGTTCAAGATGCTGTAGTGTACTCACAAAAGTATGTTGGTGTAGAGTTCTTCGAACATTCTTTTCTTGCTGGTTTTGTCCCATAGTATTTTGATATTTTTCGATCCACCCACATTCCAAACACCTCTATTGCATTCACCGTAGCAGTGTTCAGAGTACAACTTTTATAACTATACTGTCTGCGAAAACATACCTCAGTCCAAAAGTTGACAGTTTGCGTGATTCAGGGTGTCAAAGTTACAATTTTATTTTCTATTTTCCACATATATGTCTGAGTATACTTTCCCTAAAATAATTGTAGGTCCCTTCAGGTGCAAGTCCTCGAGCTCCTCCTGTGTGCCCAAGGGCGGCTACATGGCCTATGACCTTGGCGTTAAGCAGTGGGGCTAGCGTTCAATTTGATATTGGGATTATATTGGAACGTTCCATTCAAAATTGAAATTAGCAATAAACTGAGCGCTTCACAGTTGTCTTTTTATTCAAAAATCCCGTAAAAATTGAAAAAAGGCGTAGAAAACAAATGAAATATATATCCTCTCTTAAATTTAATATATTAAATAATGAGTTGAAAATGGAATCATAACTTTGCTTACACTACCCTTAACATTTGAAGTTGTTTGGCATTTTCTCTTAAGGGCAATTTGGAGACTTTCTGTATTACCCATTGTGTCGTGTCTTGAAAATATTTGAGCATCTGGATATGGATCATATAAAGGGAGTACAACCTTTCATTTGATCCAATAGTAAACTGACATTGTTGTTTTCATATACAACGTGAGTTTAACTGATTACTATTTTTAGCTTCACTTCTTTGTATCAGTATTACTCAATGAGGTTCTTAATAAGGTGCCGCCATTTGCCCCGATTGTAATGAATTATGTTTACGAACCCTGAACTCTTGTGAGATAAAATCTAGTGTATATTTTTGCTGAATTTTGCGAACTATTGAGAAGTATACTATACTACCATATTAGTGCAGGTGATCGGATACGGTTATTTAACTTCGAGTGGCCTTAAAGTACCCTTCAAATGCCTTCCTAGACCACTTATGTCGTGCGCGTCTGGACTCGAATTCTGAATTGGTCTTCGAGGTGACCTTGACACAAGGTTGACACGACGTTGAGATGCCTTCATAGTGACTAAATGACTTCTGATTTGGACTTATCAACCAGAAACGTGAGTGGCATGTGGCTGGGCTCAAATGCTCGGCTTCTTTTGAAAATGTCCTTGATAAACCTTGAGGTCTCCTCCAAGTGAAGCAAACTAACCCCAGATTTGAAAACAAAAAACCCTATTGTGCTGTAAGTGGTATAATTGGCCATTTCAGATCCCAAAGGTTAGATTAACAAGCAAATCCTATGGTCAAGAGTAAATTCGAACAATAACGATTCCGGACGACTTTACTCACACCAGTTTCCGTCACGAGATATACAGGGTGTTCCATAATTATTGCGACAAAATGATAGGGGTTGTAGAGGGCATCAAAATGAACAATTTTTCCTTATAAACCCCTGTTCGGAAATATGCCGTTTGGGCTGCAGCAAAAAAAAGATCAGTTTCTTGAAACAGCTTACCTACAGTAATTGCTCAAAGTATCCTCCACCTTGCTCAATACACAGCTGTGCACGATTGTTCAATGATCGGCGAACTCTGTGGCATACCCCCGGTATGTCCTGAACATGTGCGGACGCGGCCATCACTCTTCCCAGTAGCTCTTGTTGGTTGGGAACAGGAGTTTCGTACACTAAAGCTTTCAGATAGCTCCAGATAAAATAATCTAGTGTGGTCAGGTCAAGTGACCGCGCAGGCCAAGGCACAGGGCCACCTCGGCCTCTCCACCTATTTGGAAATTTGTCGTCCAAATACTGCCGCACTTGTAAAGAAAAGTGGGCTGGACCGCCATGGTGTTGAAACCACATGTTGGCTCTTATATTCAGTGGCACATTTTGTAATAGTTCCGGTAGCACATGCTGTAAGGATCGACCATAAGCATGCCCATCCAAACGTGGTGGAAGCAGATATGGCCCGATGATATGCTCGTCCACAATGCCGCACCAGATGTTAATTGAAAACTGATGTTGGTCTCTATGGATGGCTATGGCATGAGGGTTTTCTTTATCCCAAATGTGACTGTTATGGCTATTGAAATAACCGTCCTTTGTAAAACAGGACTCGTCAGTGAACAAAACGTAGCGACCAAAGTTTGGTTGCCTCAACTCCTGCTGCAGCCACCAACGGCAAAAACGTTGACGCGGCAGATAGTCTGCTGGACCCATGGCTTGGACTTTTAAAAGGTGGTACGGGTGTACGATAACAAAAATGTAAACACAGCAGGCTTTTTTTACAAACCGGTGAGACCATTAAATGTGCTAGACGAACATTTTGCAGCTGGTGAATTTTTTGTTTCTCCTATGAGCTCTTAAGGTAAAATTAACTGTAGTGCTCAAACGGCATATTTACGAACAGGGGTTTATAAGGCAAAATTGCATATTTTTATGCCCTCTACAACCCCTATCATTTTGTCGCAATAATTATGGAACACCCTGTATATACATGCCTACAGATAAGCAGCATCCATCGAGGCACGATAATTGTCAGGATATAGACTTGTTTGTGTTCAAATGAGCACTAGTTTGTTTGGAAAAGCCCTAGAACAGGAGGAGAAACTCAAGTTTATTAAATTTAAGGTATACATCTGTACTAGCACCTCCACTCTCCGGGATTGGCACCAGAATTCCTTAAGGATATTAGTCAGGGATGTCAGCAATAAATATTTTTATGTCTATTTAACGGAATATGTCATACAAGTTGGCGATTTATGAAAAACGTTGGCGACACCCAACATTGCCGAATTATTTTTTATTCGTATCTCTCAAAGCAAAAATCTTTTGAAGTAGGTGTAATTTAGTATATATCTTTTTGCTTAATGCGGTTTTGTTGATATTTTCTATTGCTGTATTTGATCAGATTTTGATCATTAAGTCTTCACAAAGTTGTAAATAGTCATCTGGTTCGATTTTCGGACCAGCTCGATATTTTCCAGATTCTTTCTTCCGTTTTAAATTATATCATTTGCATACAACTTTTGCTTAAGTGTCAAATACGGCTGTAGAAACACAATACCCTACAAAACATGGTGCTTCGTGTGAAATGTTTCAAACTATTTTGTAGTATAGAAAAATTGAAGAGACAGCGGCTGGTGGATTATGTTGTGAAAGTGTCTCCTTAGTTAACTGTCCAATAAATTGAGAATGTAGATGAAACAGCTCTTTTATGTCGAAAAATTCCAACTTTTTCGAATATACAGGGTGCGCTATCTCTTATGTCGGTACGTTAACATGAAATAACTTTGAAAACGAAAAACTGATTTCTATATATCGGGTATTTTTATTAAATATGGTCCTTTACAATTTATTGGGACCAGTTTAGAACACAACATCTATCAAGTGGCCACCTTTATTGGCCATAACAAGATGTGCCCGTTTTTGCTGCGTTTCCATTACTTTTTAGACCATCTCTGGTGGTATAGCGGCGATTGCGGTACGAAGGTTTCAAATAAGCCCACAAGAAGAAGTCCGGTGAGGTCAAATCTGGAGACCTGGGTGGCCAGTCAATGTCATCAGACGTCCATGGCAGACATAATGAACCAACATCCACCGATATGGCCCAATGATGGTTTTGGCGCAAACGCCGGCCCTAACAGTCACTTTCTGGCCATGCAACGACATTTCGTGGATCCCATGTGGATTTTCCGTCCCCCAAATGTGGCAGTTTTGCTTATTAACGCCACCAGATAACGCGAAATGGGCCTAGTCGGTCACACTTTGCTTCCAAAAATCAGATTCAGCATCAACCATGTGACCGATTGTTTGGGCGTATTCCAAGCGACGTGGACGGTTAGTTGGCAATATTTTTTGTGTTAACTGCACCTTATAAGGAAACAAATGCAAGTCATCCTTCAAAATGCGCCGCAACGTGGTTCCACCGATGCCAAAATGCTGACCGCGGTGACGATACTATACTTTTGGGTTCTGGGCAACGCTGTCTCTGACCGCTTCAACCAATTTATTGGAAAGTCTTGGTCGTTGACGAATGATATGTTGACGATCTCCCACTGTCACGTACTCAAGAAAATTCGAAACCAAACGACGGATAGTGTTGTCAGACGGTGCCTTTTTGCCACGATATTTTCAACGATATGCGTTAACACAACTGAACGACGATTTTCAATGACCAAAATTGTAGTAAATTGACGTTTCAGAAACACGTATAACCAAATCACTCGGTTGGTAAATGTCAAAGTCATTCGATGTTTCAATACCGACATAAAAGAAGGCGCACCCGTTATTTCTTCCAGCTCAGTCCATCCGCAGCTCAATATAGCTCTGTAACTGTTAGCAGCTACAAAGTACTATATACGATTTCAAATTGAATGGAACCTTTTGTGATAATTGTTTTGCAGAAAGTCGTGCTGTATAATATATTTTTAATATTCGTCTTTAGCTCTTAGAAATGTCAGTTACTCATACTTGCTAATCAAAGTTTGACTTGCTAGAAAAATTTGTAGTGACATAAAAAAGAACTAACAAGTAAAAGACGTTCTACATGGAATAATACCTTCTATACCTCATTTTAATATACTATACGTTGAATGAGAGAAACATATATGCAAGATAGGTCAGGTCTAATTCCCATTTAAGCTCAGACAAAAGAAATTTCCATTTCTAAGAGCAGAAGTTGCATAAAACTGAAACTATGGTTGAAATTGGGTGTAGTTAAGGAAACATGTATATAATTTAGTTCCGTATACTGATTTTTCAGTATATCGGTTAGTAATTTACCGTCATCGTCTTTTTCAAAATGAAAAATGGATGACTTGAATTTTCTTGCCTTAGCATCACACGTAACGAGTCTGACGTCTAGTGGTTGCTGATGATCAAGGTTATTTTAACTTTGTTCGTTCACTGTGAAAACCTGATCACAAGCAGCCATTAATGATATCTCGTTTAAGAATATTTTGCCATATCTTGAAAAGTATTTTCGTATGAGCGCAGTCGAAATTCAGGAAAATATTTCATACAATTGTACTTGAAAAAGGTCAAGGACAAATATGGGGAAAATCACAGGATATGTTTCAAATGTTTCATTAACCAATAATTTGAATATATCTGGTATCGCTCTTATAGAAAAATGTCATTCAAAATATGGCGGAATACATGAAAGTGTCTGGGTATATTACGGCATGAGATGATTTTTTCGTGGAATGTGCAATATAGTCACTGACTTTGTACTATAATATATAATAAGTATAATTAATTGTATAATTTATATTGTATTAAATAAAATACTTTTTATTTATACTCTGTTTTTTTCCTGCAATTAATGTGATCTTGATTGTAATAGTCATTAGGTTAAATAATGGTGGTGAAACCATGAGGGGCAATGCGTGCTCATTGATCCCCTACAGTTTCCTCAAAGCTAAGTATGTGAAATCTCAAAGCAACAAAAAATTGATATGATCTAGAAAATTTTCTCCTTAAGTTGATTGTAGACAGGCCACTCTCATGGGCGCCAACATCCCAACATAGAAGATATTGTTTTTGCTACCATTTTGAATAGTTGCACCCCTCTCCTGTCTTCATTTGTTGGCTAGTTCTCAGCATCTTTGATCCTGCATAACTTGTACATCAAACATGCCCCCCCCTTGATTTTGCTATATGGGCGCTCAAGGCCACTCTTCCCAGGATGGCATCTCTTTTGAATAACCCAACTAAGTAGCGGCAATTGTTGATGCTCGTAGGTATATTCATTTACAAAAACATCGAACTCTCAGCAATTTTTTTACACAGAAGCAGCTATAAGGAAGGGGCTTGAAGATGCTTGGTTAATCCGATTCTAGAACTGTCCAAGATTAGTTACAGTGGCGGATTTAGTGGGGGGCGCGCCTCCCCCCTAGACGTTTGACACTTACTTTTGTGATCTAACACCATTCTTTTACGTTCTGACACATCATGGCTACATAGGCATACTGACTATAGTTATAGCTATAGAAACTGTGCATTGCGATTTTTTGGTATCCTTTGGTATTCCAAACGCTGTCCCTCCTTGACATCACTTACGTTTACAGCACAATTCTTACGATTTATACGTATATACGAGTATTGTGAATCGTGACAAATCTAAGTCTGAGTAATACATTAATTAGCTCTACAGATTGCACTTAAAAAGTGATTTATGTTCTGTTTGTGGTTCAATAGTAATTTGAAAAGTTTGTAAAGGTTGACTGATTTTGTTCGGGGTTGGTGTTAGATGAACGCCTAAATTGGAAATAGATATTTATGAGATTTCATTAGCGGTGCGCCTGTAGCCTGTCACGAAAATGCGTCGTTGATGCTCAGTCATTACCACACGTCCCGTATCTCTTCCC